CCAGGCTAGAGTGCCGTGGCTTCAGCCTAGCTCACAGCAACCTCAAACTCCTGCGCTCAAGCAATCCTACTGCCTCAGCCTCCTGAGTAGCTGGGACTACAGGCATGTGCCACCATGCCCAGCCAATTTTTTCTATATATTTTTAGTTGTCCAGATAATTTCTTTCTATTTTTAGTAGAGACGGGGTCTCACTCTTGCTCAGGCTGGTCTTGAACTCCTGACCTTGAGCGATCCACCTGCCTCAGCCTCCCAGAGTGCTAGGATTACAGGCGTGAGCCACCATGCCCAGCCTATTCTTTATCTCTCAGGACTGTATGTGTCCTTCCTCAATAGCCTTATATCCACTGCAGGTGATGTAGATACAGATATAGGCAGATATTTGATTACGGCCTAGAAATAATAGTCATTCAGTGCATATTTGGTGAATGAATGAATGGGTAAATGAATGAGGAATACATGAATGGTTCTCTGGGAAGGTTCAAGAACAGAATAAATTGTTTGCTTGGGGTTTTTAGACTGGCAATGAGACCCCTACCCTTGACTTGGAAGAGGAGCAACTTTTTGCTTTCCAGCTGTGTGACTGCCTTATGGTGGCCAGCGGAAGTCGGGGGGAGGTGGGAGACAAGTGGGGAGGGGCTGACGGGGTGACAGGAGACATGACTGTGTGTCCTACTCTCCTGAGGGACAGTGCAAGGCCTTGCTTAGAGATTAGCCAGAGAAGACTCCAAGACCTCCTGGAGGTGCTGGTTTAGCTGCCCAGGAGCAATGGTGGCTTCAGGGTCAGGTGAGAGATGGGGAAGGTGGGGCTTCTTGCTCCGAATTTCTGATAAGCTATCACCAGAGGGATTTCTGATAAGCTATCACCAGAGGGTTTTCTGGCTTTTCAATTCTCCTTTATCAAGTGTGCCTTCTACCACTTTCTCTGGAGAATTGTTAATTCCTGGGGAGTGCTGTGAGGTGTGAGTCACCAAAGCCTGTAGGGAAACACCCACTCATTTGCCAATCGGCAAACAGAGCCTCCCACAAAGTAGAGGGCTTGATTCAGAGCTGTAAGGAAACAATAGAGTCCATTGAACAAATGCAACATTTAATGAACTCGAAACAGTGCGCTCTAAAAAATAAGTTAATAAAGCAGCTTTTTAAACTTTAACGCATGCTTATTAGCTTTCTTTTTAAAGTACCATCTGTCACCTCAGTCTGAGTGCACAGGTGTTGTTGATCACATGATTCATCTCTCTGTGATTTCTGAGCTATGAATGAAAATGTTGATTGGAATTTTGCAAATAACAACCCTTTCGTGTCTGCTCCAGCTTTCACAAATCATTCGGGACCTTCAAAGAGAACAGGTACCTTCTATTGCTTGGCAATTCAACAAGAAAGGTGCAGAACAGACAAGCACATCGTTCAGATGCACCTGCCGTAAAACTCTCTTTATTGGGCTCTTCCAAGACCCTGGGATTGTTAAGGTCTTCCAATCCGTTTGATTGTGTGTTTTTGAAGAAATAGCACAACTCAGTGGGAGACTTCGCCCTTGGACTCCATCTCCCAGTGACCCCGCCCACCACATCTTCATCTCAGGACTGGAGGGATGAAGGAAAGCAGAGAGGGGGTGGGATGGGGCCTTGGAATGGGAGGTAAATTACCAGAAAAAATAGAAGCTTCCTGCCTTTTATCAGAGCAAGTATCAGATCCTGTTTGGCCCAAGTACATTTTGTCCCATTCTGTTTCTTATGCAAATTAAACATCTAGGGACCAGCCTCCCACAAAAGTTAAATCCACTTCCCAAACTCCATTCAGCTGCCCCTTGAAAGGAGTATCATGTACCTCATTGTTAGCTGGATCCCTGCTCCAAGAAATTGTAGGAGAGATCTCTTTCTCTGTCCCAGGGTCTTATCGTTATCAGACTTCTCTAGAAATCAAAAACGCCTGCTCTTTTATTAAAGTGGGCTTCTAAAGAGAGAAATATTACCATTAGAAAACACCCAGAGTTCATGTGAGAACACTACTGACATGCCCTTCCAGCCTGAGAATACGAACCCCAGATGAATACTTAGGGCAGCGAGCCTCTGAGTGCTTGCTGTGTGCAAGATGCTGTGCTAAGCAACAACATGCATCATTTCATTATATCCTCATAACAGCTATAGGTGACGGGAAGCCCCTTTTACAGATTTGGAAACCGGAGGCTTAGAAAGCTCAAGCCACTTGCCCAAGATCACACAGTTGGGAGTGTGGCAGAGCCGCGACCTCTAATTCCCCCAAAACCTGTGCTCTTAGTTACATATGACGTAGTCCAGCACGGATGACAATAATGTGTGCTGTCTGGTGGTGACCCCCTCCTAAGCGGCTCTCCTCTTTGGAGTCCCCAAGTAGAATGAAGCACAGAAACAAAAGGCTTTCCTGATAGAGGAAAATAAGCCACGCCTATGCTAACAGACATACATCTCATTTAATGTTCTGAGTAACACTGTGTCACAGACATCATCATATCCTTTCAGAGAGCTGGAAATTAAGACTCACAGAAGCTCAGTAACCTGCCCAAGAACACACAGCTAGTCGTGGCCAAGGTGGGCTTCAGGTTTCAGGCAGACGGCAGAGTCTCAGCCTTATCCTGTCACGCCTCACAGCATCTTGCCAGCACCGTCAGACATTCCCACTGGGAGAGAGGAAAGGCGTTTATGTCCACTGCAACCCTTGCCATGAATGAACTCCGCCCCACTAGGTCAGAGACAAGATGATTTTGTTGACCTGCCTGGGCCAACGTTGGCTAAAAAGAAATACATATTTGAAGCCGTGTGAAAAGAATCCTCTTGAAATGGGAACAAACATCCCAACCCACATAGGAGAGCAACACTGAGTCAGGTGTGGTGGCATGTGCCTGTAGTCTCAGTTACCTGGGAGGCTGAGGCAGGAGGATCGATTGAGCCCAGGAGTTGGAGGTTGCTGTGAGCTAGCCTGATGCCATGGCACTCTAGTCTGGGCAGCAGAGTGAGACTCTGAGACTCTGTCTCAAAAAAAAAAAAAAAAAAAGCAACACCGAAATTGTCAGTGATGGATAATCATTTATGTCAAATCAGAGGCCCATTCCTTACACAGTTGGGCTGTTCCAGGCACCTGTGTCTCGACGTACTTGTCACTCCCTCTGTCAAGCACTCTCTCCTCCCTGCGTTCCTACCACTCTATGCACTGTCCTCCCCGCAGGTCCTCAGGGAGAGAAGTCACTTCTGAAGCGCCTGCATCTTCCCAGGACCTAGTCCAGTGCCTGGTATACCACAGGGACCCAATAAATGTTTCATTCAAACAAGGAGTTAGTGCTAAGCCCCAGGAAAGAGAAACTCAAAATTCACAGATATTTGTGAGATTGAAGTGTCTTTTCTCTATTCTGGAATGAGCCACAGAAAATAGTATAAAGGTTCTTATGTTTTCAGGCCACGCTAAACTCGATCCTAGTATTAAAAAAAATTTTTTTTTAAATATGTTTCTTACTCCTCCCCCCTCCATCCCATTTGGTCTTCATTCACAAAATATATTACATATGTGTTATACAACATAGATATGTTTCATGTTACATGAATCGTAAATCTACCATGAGACACTTGGTGGTACTTCTAAGGAAAAGAAAAACAACTCATTAGACACACACATTGCCAAAAATTGTTCGTTGTCTTTTCACAGAATCTACTTATTTATTTACTACTTTGCCATTTATGAGAGGCTTGACATCATTGCTATCCCATCCTGCAAGCTCAACCCAGGGCTACAGCCTCCATTTATGGAAAAGGAAACTGAGTCACAGAAATTTTTAATGGCTTGCCACATGGCTATTTCCTTAATTCTTTAACACTGCCGTTGTAAAACATACCATCAATTTAACAATAGGTTTTGAGGAAATAAGGAATCTATACCATATTACGTATGCATGTTGCTTGTGAGATGCACCCGATGTTCTGAAACATTAAATTATGTGTGTTCCCAGGAGTACATCTGCCACCTTCGTGGGGGCAGCATTTTATCTGTTGTTTTCAGTGGGGTGTTGTTGGATGACTAAGGATTGAATTATAAGAGTGCCTTTCTAAGTTCCTTCTTTCAACATCATCGCTCCGGGAGACTAATAAAGCTTTAGAAGCCTCGAGGGTGTGCAATTAAAAGCTGTATTTCAGGATGGAGTTCTAGATGTCAGAGTTTGTTTTTAAACATTAGAGAGAAGGAAAAACCCTTTAAAATGTTTGCATTAACAAAAATAGCCTATTTTTTGTTTGAGTTATCAGATGTAACTATGCTGAATTTGAGTCTTCTTAAGTTCAAAGTTTAGTTCACCTACATAAAAAAAATAGAGAGAAAGAAAGACCTAAAAGAAAGATAATTGTCACCTGGAACTGTGCAGAAATAGTTTGTCTCCAGAGTTATTTTTTGTAGGAGGGGGGAAAAATCAACTTTTTATTTCAATCTTGGTTGAAGCAATATTAAAAAAAAAAAAAACAGTTTATCCAATTCTGTGAAGTAAAAGAAATGAGACTCGAGTGGTAACTGAGCTTCCCATAGGATTACTGTGCAAGGTCCTTTTTATTCCCCCCATGGCGGATAAGCAGGCCCATTGTGACTTATCTGGAGTCGGTTTCTTTTACACCCTCGGGCTGTATAAAGCCAAGCTAGAACTGGGGCCGGGGACTTGGGGAGCATCCGGAGGCAGCATCCACAGTCCGGAGAGGATGAAACAGTCGGGAACACGGGCAGCTGCATGTGTCATTGACGCGCCCAGTGGTATGAGCCCCACTTTTTGCCTCTCAGCGCTAAAACGGGACAATTAGAAATGGGGGATGGCATCACTGATCTCCCCTGGAAATTCCCCCCAACACTATGTGCACTGCTTTGTTCTTATCCTTGATTTTAACTTTTCCTTCACGCTTCTGACCTAGAGTGATCGAGGCTCGAGCCCTGGACAGACCGTAAACATTTGGCCAGCTTGGCTTGGCCATCCAGCAAAGACCAGGTGCTGAGAAGCAATGGTGATGAGGGCCTTCGTCCTGCTGGCCATCTTTGCAGAAGCCTCTGCGAAATCGTGCACGCCAAACAAAGCAGGTATGCCCTGGTGCCCGTGCATTTTCCCGGAAAGACACGTTTCCTGAATCTTTCCTTTGCAAGGCTCAGAGCTCTGTGCTTACCTTGTTAAAAAAAAATGCAATAATGTAGCCAAGTAGAAAGAACTTAAGCCCCCGAGTGCCAATCAGACTTTTCCCACAGGAAACAAAAATATATTAGTTAAACTTAGACTTTTTTTGGTATAAATTTAAGGAGTACGAGTATAATTTGTTACATGGATAAACTTAGACGTTTTTATAATTAGAGAATGTTCTATCTCACTTTCTCCCTTTTTCTCTCTCTATATATACATACATTAAAAACATCTTCATATTTTTTGACTGTTGAATTTCTGTCCTGTGCCATAAATCAGTGTTTTATAATATGCATGAAATTGATACTTTAAAATTTTAAGTTACCAGCTGGGCACGGTGGCTCATGCCTGTAATCCTAGCACTCTGGGAGACCGAGGCGGAAGGATAGCTTGAGCTCAGGAGTTCAAGACCAGCCTGAGCAAGAGCGAGACCCCGTTCCTACTAAAAATAGAAAAATTAGCCAGGCATGGTGGCGCATGCCTGTAGTCCCACCTACTCAGGAGGCTGAGGCAGGAGGATTGCTTGAACTCAGGAGTTTGAGGTTGTTGTGAGCTAGGCTGACGCTACGGCACTCTACTCAGGGCAACAGGGTGAGCCTCTGTCTCAAAAAAAAAAAAAAAATTTAAGTTATGTGCTCATTTTCATGGGAGTTTTAATATCTATTTGTATATATTCAATACATCTAATCTGTGGTTTCACAGATGTATTCCTTAAAATAAAATTAGAGTTTTAAAATGGACCAATTTTAAATATGTATTAAGTATAGTACATTTATTAAACTGATGTAGCAAAAACTATAAAAGCAGAAATTCAGTGACCGAAGTTTGGGAAAACTTCCATCACAGCTGGTAAACAATAGGGAGGAGAGTGTTATTTTAACCTACTGCTTTGCATGTTCAGGTGTGGCTGGAATCCTTTACGTAGATTAATATGATTACACTATCTTTCCAGATGTCATCCTTGTGTTTTGTTATCCCAAAACCATCATCACCAAAATCCCCGAGTGTCCCTATGGATGGGAAGTGCATCAGCTGGCTCTTGGAGGGCTGTGTTACAATGGGGTCCACGAAGGAGGTTACTACCAATTTGTAATTCCAGACTTATCACCTAAAAACAAGTCCTACTGTGGAACCCAGTCGGAGGTAAGGTCAGGCTGCGCAGTGCAGAGTTGCTTGAGATACGGCAATTGGGCCCAAGCATGAGACGCTTGTTGTCAGTCCTGACTCCCAGATTTCCTTCTCTTCTGCCTAGTTTAGATAACTCTTTTAGCTTGACTTTTATTCTCCTAATTTGTCATCAGAACTAGCCAGGTTACCTTCTGTGAGTAGAACCAAGTACATTTCCCACCTTTAACCCACTTCAAATTCTGAGCTTATGCTCACAAGCTGCCATCCTTCCTGGGTGGATGTGTGAGCCAACCTCTGCCTGAGGCTCTGAAGTGGTGACAACACGCGTTGGAAGAACATTTTAAAGACATGGCCAAAGTACAACACAATTTGTAACCTTGTCATGAAAAATGCCCAGGGTGGGGAATCATAGAATGATAAGGAAACACAAACATCCTCTTGCCAAGTATCCTATGACGGAGGAGAAATCTGAGACTGTTCAATAAAGTTTCCAGATCAGGGCCACAGCACCAGCAGGGATGCGGCCATGAAGGGAGGTTGGGCCTTCTGATCCTCCCACTGTGGTCCAGCATTCCTACCACCTGGACTGCCAGAAGATTGCACATCTACAGATCTCAGAAGATGAAAGCAAACAGCTTCCAGGGCCACCTCCCCTTCCGAAAAGCCTCACAAAGATTCAGTGATTTAGTGGGAAGAATCACAGGCATGATTAGCAAAAGATCATGGCTTTGAGTATATCTTGGCAAGGTGAACTAGAAACCATCTGTGTGGTCTCAGGTAGGTCACTTCTTAAGTGTATATTCGATATCCCTTACAGCTGATATTCTGTGCTCTTAGAGTCCAGCAAGTCAGAGGAAAGAGTCTCAGAAATAGTGTTTATGGGCTGGGTGTGGTAACTCCTGCCTATAATACCAGCTCTTTGGCAGGCTGAGGCAGAAGGATCACTTGAGACCAGGAGTTTGAGACCAGCCTGAGCAACACGGTGGGACCCTGTCTCTACAAAAAAAAAAAAAAAAAAAATCAGCCAGGGATAGTGGCATGTGCCTGTGGTTCTAGCTACTTGGGAGGCTAAGGCAGGAGGATCACCTGAGCACAGGAGTTCGAGGCTGCAGTGAGCTATGATGGCACTGCTGCACTCCAGCCTGGGCGACAGAGCAAGACCCTGTCTTAAAAAAGAAAAAGAAAGAAAAGAAATAGTGTTTATGGTCAGAAGGAAGAAAGAGCAAAGAACTAGACAGTGACGGTCTAGAAACTGGAGATGGGTGAAGCATTCACTTAGGATACTTGGGCAGGAGAAATGGATAAAAAGTTGATGCTGGGAAATAGATTCTTGAACCAGTTCTTTTTGGTCAGAGCCCAACGAGTATATGGATTTTTTAAAGCATACAACATCAACCTAGATTGTTTTAAACAATTTTACTTGAATGGACACAAGAACTCTCTACAAACATTATCAGCTCACTCGCAGACAAAAAGAGAGATGCCACCGTCAGTGGTAGACACTCATGTCTCTCCACTGGCCTTTTTCCTGAGCCATCTTCATTGACTTTTCCCAGAACCCATGTTCCCATCTGGGGGGTGCGGGGCCACCCTGACTGCCTTCTTCCTTTCTCTAGTACAAGCCACCCATCTACCACTTCTACAGCCACATTGTTTCCAATGACAGCACGGTGATCGTAAAAAACCAGCCTGTCAACTACTCCTTCTCCTGCACCTACCACTCCACCTACCTGGTGAACCAGGCCGCCTTTGACCAGAGGTAAGTTTCTCTGCAGCGCGGAGGGCTGGCTGCCTTGCATGTGTGCTGCAGTCCCTAGCAATCAGGCGTGTTTCAGTCCTTATGCAAAATTCTCTCCCCTTTTCAGAGTGGCCACTGTTCACGTGAAGAACGGGAGCATGGGCACATTCGAAAGCCAATTGTCTCTCAACTTCTACACTGTAAGTGGTCTCCAGGTTCCCTTTACTGCCCTGTGGCCTTTCCAGGAGATGATGGGATGCTTCCTCAGGATTCACTCTTCCCCAAGCTCTATGCAGAGCCTCACTCTTGAATTCGGGTTGAGACATAAGCTTTGGGTTAGCTTTAAACCTCTTTAAAGACTAGGTGTAGACTAGGTACGGTGGCTCATGCCTGTAATCCTAGCACTCTGGGAGGCCGAGGATCGCTTGAGGCCAGGAATTCAAGACCAGCCTGAGCAAGAGTGAGACTCCGTCTCTATAAAAAATAGAAAAATTAGCTGGGCATGGTGGTGTGTGCCTGTAGTCTCAGCTACTTGGGAGGCTGAGGCGGGAGGATCACTTGAGCCCCAGGAGTTTGAGGTTGCAGTGAGCTATGATGACACCATTGCACTCTAGCCAGGGCAACAGAGTGAGATGCTGTCTGAAAAAAAAAAAAAAAGACCAGGTGTAGCAGAAAGTCAGATTCATAGACTGGATAGAATAGCTGAAAAGTGGCACAAGATATAAGGCCAACCTTCCAATTTTACAAATGAGAAAGTTGAGGCAAGGTCAATAGTAGTCAATAATACAATAGCCAATGTTGAACTCTTAATCAAGATTAGTTTCTACTGCAACCCACTCTGGAGATTTATATTTAGGATTTAGCTCCTCTTAAAACCATTTGGCACAGGGAATTGAGCTTCCTGCTTGGGACAGGACTAAGGAGAAGGGTTGGGCTGCTGCTTAATTCTCTGGTCTCTGAAACCTTTCAGTTAGTGGGTTTCCTTGCTGTCTAATTTAGGCAGGCTGCCTATGTTGACATCGAAGTTAAAGACACACTCTGGTCTCTCCCAAAATAAAGTGCTCCAGAGAAACTAAATATGCAGTGGCCATTAGCCCAGCTGCTCTGCTGTTTAGAAGGGGTGCTTTGTTTTTCAAACCTGCAGCTTGCAGTGAGGACACATGCACCTAGAGACACTGGCCCAGCTGGCTAGAGGAGCACGCAGGCAGAAATACAAACCTTTACATGGAACTTTAGAACTGGAAGACATCCTTAGAGGGCATCATGTCCAACCCATTCATTTTCCAAAGGAAAAAACTATCCCACCTGGAACTCCATTAGCTTTGAAATCTTTGAACTTGCTTCACCTGCTGCCTGGAAACTATTAACTCTACTGAACTCAGAAGGTGAGAGCTGGAAGGGATCCTAGAATAACCTAGTCCAGATTAGGATCTGAAGCCCAGAGGGAGGAAGTGATTAGCCCAAGACCCTACAGGCAGTTCGGAGCAGTGCCCACGCGAGAGCACAGATCTCCTAACCACCCTCCTAACCACCGTCGCTTCACTTACCGCGAAGGGAATGAAGCTGAAATTTCAGGGCCCATCACTTGCACAAGCCCCTTTCGAAGCCCTGTGTCTAATTTTGTTTTGAAAATTTTGATTCTTTTTATCAAAGAGCGCTCTCCAAATTGTATAAGTTTCAAGGTTCCACAAAATCTAGATCTGCTTCTAGCCACGTACCACTAGTGGTTAAGAACTAAGAAAAGGAAAAGGAATCTCGTGCAGCCCGTGACCTATAATAGGGGTAAAATACAGTGTGAGCCACCAGGGTGAGGAAAAGATGGAGAAATCACTGAAGTCACTGACGAAGGCTTTCCAGAGAGGAAAATAGGCTTCTCCGCGTTGACAGCAGTCTCAGGGGACTTCCCGATGTCAGGCTGCCTTTACTATTGAATCCCTGTCTGGAAGTCAATCATTGTTATTTTAACCAGATGAAATTGTAGATATGATCCTGTGAAGGTTTTACAACAGTTGGCAATGGAGAGATGTCAGGATTGTTGAAAATCATCAGCCACCATCAGCCGTGTTGGGCTGAGTTTCAGACACAAACCAAATATCAAATCTTAGAACTGGAAGGAGCTCGTTTTCTTAAAAAAAAAAAAATTAAAGGGCATGTTCTCTGGGCTGGATAAACCAACTAATAAGATACCTCCTTGCACTGGTATAGAAATGAGGCTAAGGCCTCCCCTGAAGCCCACCATGACCCCTCCAGGACAAAGGGACCTCAGCAAAGAGGGAGCTCAGCTGCACAGAAACTTTCACACTGATTAATATTCCCACCTCGGTTTCCTATGCCTGACCCACGGGCTTAGTATTTTTTTCTCCTCCCTTCCTCTGCTTTGAGAGCGTTCTTGTGTGTTTCTGAAGCAACAACTGCTCCCGCATATATTTCCATCAAATTACCAGAAACAGAGCCGTGCCCTACATAGCACAATGGAATCAATGCACTGCTAATTGCTTAGGATTGGAGAGCTCCAAATGCTGGGCTCCAAAAGCACCAGCTCTACTTAGCGCGCTTCCTCTTGCTTTTCTCTCCATCGCCCTCCCACCCGCTCTTGCCAGGGGTCCACGGTTGGTATTCCTAGAGAAAGTTATTTTGAGTCCCAACAAAAAGCACAGGAAGGTAGTCAGCTTCCAGAAGTGGCCTGGTGCTGTGGTTAAGAAAATGGGCCTTGCCCACTGGTTTGAAGGCTTGTTCTGCATTTGCTAGTTGTGTTGGGCAAGTTAGTTAACCTCTCTGGGCCTCCATATTTGCAATTGTTAAGGAAGGATAACAATGGCATTTACCGTGCAGGTTTGTTGTAAAGATTAAATGAAATAATCTTTGGGAAGCACAGTGCCTGGCACAAGTTAAATGCCTAAGAAAGTAGCCATTCCCATGACTGCAGACTTTGACCCTATTTAAACTGCAAGCTCCTAGGGTTCCTAGCATTGTTAAAGGGCTGAGTGTCAATGTCAGTGTGGGATTAGACCGACTTTTATTCAATCAAAACAGTACTGATCATTCCTCTCAGAGAGAAAGGAAAAAGCTTGGGATGGAACAAACGCAAACAATAGAAGCCCAAATCACAAACTCAGAGAGTCAAAACAAACCTCAGAGGTGATCAAATTTGACTTTCCACCCAAAGCCCAAAACCCTTCTACTTGATTGCTAAGGGGTGGCCTCCCTGCCTCTCCCAGAGACAATGGTGATTTGGGCCTTCCCGTTTTAGATCAGCATATGAAATCTGACACCCTGCACTCCGGCCCGTTGCCCCAGTTCTGTCTTCTGAAATGAAACCATATAATTACGGTGCTGACAGCCCTTCCGATGTCTCAAGCTAAACATTTTCCCCAAGCTAAACACCTGTTCACTACTGGCGGTTCATTCACCACCCTAGTCACTCTTCTCTGACTCTGACAGTTGGTCAGTGCCCCTATTAAAAAATGGAGCCCAGAATTGAAATGTTACCTTCTAGACCAGTGGTCCCTAACCACTGGTCTCCAGGGACCAGTTTCATGAAAGACAATTTTTCCACAGAGCAGGGTTGGGGATGGGTTTTGTGGGTGGGAAGAAGGGAAAGTGTGGAGCTCAGTAGTGATGCGTGGCCCATTTCCTAATAGGCCACTGACTGGTACTGGGCCACGGACTGGGGGTTGGGGACCACAGTTCTAGACGGTGTCAAACCAATAACGGGCACAGTGGGTCAGAGGTGACCTTCTAGGTTCTGGAAGACTCTAGAACATGTCCTATGATAATAACTTTCACCACTATCTCACATTGAGTTTGTGAGCAAAAGCAAGTTCTAGATTTTTCCACGTGAACTGTTGTTAAACAAGGTGTACCCACCCTTAACTTGTGTCACTAGATAGTTGTGACTCCACCTTCCGGTAAAGTGAAGGGACTGGATGGCATGATTTTTCAAGGTGGTCTTCCATTCTCTTCTGTAAACGAGTAGTTTACGTAGCATTTCTATGTTTCCAGGGATGCCAAAATAAACTTTCCAGGTCCCTCCTTATCCAAGGTTTTGCTTTCTGTAATTTCAGTTGCCCATAGTCAACCATGGTCCAAAAATATTAAATGGAAAATTCCAGAAATAAACAATTCATAAGTTTTAAATTACACACCTGTTCTGAGTAGTGTAATGAAAGCTTGTACCATCCCACTCTGTTCCATGTGGGACATAAATCATCCCTTTGTCCATTGTACCCACACTACAGACACTATCTGTCCATTAGGCACTTAGTAGCTGTCTCAGTCATCAGATCCAAAAAGTACAGTGTATATTGGGTTCAGTATATCCACGGTTTCAGACATCCACTGGGGGTCTTAGAACATATCCCCTGTGAGTAAAGGGGGACTACTTAATCTGGAAATCAGTTGCTAATTTTTATGGTATAAAGAAAGTAGGGAAAATCATGCTAAGCATTGCCTTAGATGTTGGGTGAGAAAGCGGAGAACCTGATCATTCAAAGTATTCTTTTTCAGAAACATTTAAGGGAGCTGGTTCTGTTCTCCACTCTAGAACAGAATCAGGCAGTCTCCCCCATGAGTAGAGGCTTTATCCCAATATTCTAATACTCTGCTGGCTGGTCCCTAGGGGAAGGAGTTAGGAGGAGAACCTCTGGTTGAGGACAACATGTGGTCCCCAGGTTAGTTCTCATATTTGAAATGGTCTCTCGAAACGTGACAGATCTCAGAAAATAACAAGGGACCTTAAAGATCACTGTAAATCTGCCACTTCAACCTGCAGATTAAGCTAGTAAATCCCTTATGATTAAGAACATTATAATTTAATTATGGCAACCATTTTAAATGGTACAGGGGCCTGACAAATGGGAGAAAAACAGCTGACTTTAAGGTGACTGAGTCGGGAAGCCCTGGCTGGGCCTCCAGTCTGTAAAATAATGTCAGAGGTTGTAGAAGATGAAGGAGACTCTGAGTCCTCTCAGCAACGTCCCTGTGTGTTTGCCATGTAAGGAGTAATGTCCATCTTGACCAGACATCCTTGCTGAACATCCACTCCTCCTGCCACTATCTGCCTATTGCAGTTCTGTAAATCTCCAAGCCCAATCTTTTAAATAGTACCCTGGCCTAAGCTTTGTTCTTCACTTATATAAAGTCACAAAGTTTATTCCCATTTTGCATATGGATAAACTGAGGCCTGCAAGGCTGACTTGCCTGTAGTGTGTCCCAAGTTAGCAGCGGGAGCTGGGGTTAACCCATGGTCCTCACCGTCCCATCCCAGTGCTTTTGTCTCTGGAGGCCACAGAGTAGTTCAGGGTTGTTGCTAGAGTTGAACGAACCCAAGACTCAGAGAATGGGGAAATCAGCTTCCTTTGGGTAAGTCCACTGGAAACACTGCTATTATTCCTAATGACTTGCCCAGAAACTCCTGACGAAGACAGCAGGAGAACACCACCCATGCCAAGCCAGTAATCAGAATCTGCTGCTCAAAGCGTGGTGATGACTCCCCCAAGGCATGCAGAGCTGCAGCCCCAGGTTTTTCCACCCACCCCCATGGCCTCTCGAACCTCATCCCCTCCCCACTCTCCACTCCCCGCCTTGCTCACTTGCTCCAGCCACACTGGCCTCCTTGCTGTCCTGCCAGGGCCCAGGGCCTATGCCCTAATTCAAGCAGTCTTGCCCGGGTGGCTGCACGGCCCCCTTCCTCCCTCTCTCCAAGGCTTGCTCAAATGCCACGTCCTCAGTGAAGCCTCCCCAACCACTGTATTTGATGTTGCAACCTGGCCTTCCTCACACTCCCAATCTGCCTTGTCCTGCTCTATGTTTATTACATAATAGCTTTTCTATATAATGTACTACATTCTATTGTAACACACTATATAATTGAGTTACTTATTGTCTATCATTGGTCTCCCCTGCTAGAACACAGGCTCACTGGAGACAGACATCTTTGCTGTTTGTTCACTAATGTATTTCAATATATGGAATATCCTGACATAGAGACTATCCCAATATACAGAAAAGTGTCCCACATGTAGTAGGTGATCAATAAGTTGTGGTTGTTTTTGTTGCCATTGTTATTGTTGTTAATTTTACTGAGAATCAGATCATAAACTTTCTAACCTAGGCTGAATTCTGCTCAGGCAAAACGTAGAGGGGAATGAGGGCAGGGAGGCACTGTGTTTGGTAAAACACAGTGATTCAGTGTCCCTGGGCTCCACTTTCTTCTCATCAGTCAAATCTCGTCGGCATAAATGAAGCATACATACAGTATGTGTCTCGCCATGGCCAGCAAGTGCAGACTATGTGATGTCCTTGTCCCTTCTAAGATGGCACTAGCATCCTAGGAGCTATGGCTTCTCTGGTCCTGGAGAATCACTCTGTGGTCTCAGGCACTTATGTCTTTGGGTTAATTCTCACCCCCACCCCATCCCAATTCATCTGCTCCTGCCAGACCCAGCTGCTCAGTCTGAGAGATCGTAACACCGTGTCAATTTCCTTCCAAAGAATGCCAAGTTCTCCACCAAGAAAGAAGCCCCCTTCGTCCTGGAAACATCCGAAATCGGTTCAGATCTGTTTGCAGGAGTAGAAGCCAAAGGGTTAAGCATCAGGTAAGTACATTTCCTCTAGGTTTATATTTTTAAATACAAAGAAAAGACAAAAAAGACTAGCTGAGACACTTTTTCCCATCCAAGTACTAACCAGGCCCGACCCTGCTTAGCTTCTGAGATCAGACAAGATCTGGAGCGTTCAGGGTGGTATGGCCGTAGACATGAGACACTTTTTAATCACCAGATGTTTCTAGGCATAAGACTTTCTGGCTCAAAGTGATGCCATTTTGTTTTATTTCCAGGTTTAAAGTGGTCTTGAACAGCTGTTGGGCCACACCGTCTGCTGACTTCATGTATCCCTTGCAGTGGCAGCTCATCAACAAGGGGTAGGTACCACTGTACCTGTCCTACCTAGACAGGCCTGAGCAGCAGAGCCAGGTGTGTCCAGGGCTACTCTGATCCGGCTTGAAATAGCTTGGGAGCAAGAGGTGGCACCTGTTGGGGGTGACATCAGTGACATCTTCCGTGCTTCCAGGCAAAGTACAAATACTAGGAAACATTGCACAGTGCTTTCTTGGTACCAGGTACTGTTCTGAGAGCTTTACCCTATATTAACTCATTGAAGCCTTATAACGGGAAGGTAGTATTACTATCATCCCCATTTTACAGATGAGGAAACTGAGGCGCAGGAGAGGATAAGTAAGGCTGGATAGTCTGTATCCAAGCAAGTTAAATAAAATTATTATTTTCATTATTAATTCAGTAGATAATGGGAAGCTTTTAAAATCTAGAGTAGAGGACTGAAGTGTATTGGAATTGCAACATGGAAAGGCTCTTCTGGACGTCATATGTAGGATGGTTTAGGGACAGTGCATGGGAGGTGGGACGAGCAGCTCAGAGGCTGTGGCAGTATTGCACAGAGGTGATGAGACATGAACGGATGTCGTAGCCAAGTGAATAGAAAGATGGTCATAAAAGGGAGGGAGAAGTGGTTTTTTTTCCAATTAATTTTCCATTTTTAATTATTATGGGTACATAATATCTGTCTATGTTTATGAGGTATGTGTGATTTTCGATACAGGCATACAATGTGTAATAATCGTATCAGGGTAACTGGGGTATCCATCGGCTCAAGCATTTGTCATTTCTTTGTGTTAGGATCATTCCAATTCCACTCTTTTAGTTACTTTAAAGTATACCCTAACTTATTGTTGACTGTAGTCACTTTTTTGTGCTATGAAACATTGTATTCATTCTATCTAATTATCTAACTATATTCTCCACCCATTATCCTTTTTCTCAGAATGAGAAATATTTAGGAACTAATTGGATGGGGGTGGAGGGAGTATCTGAGGACTATGTGACAAAGATGGCTTTGTGTCGTTAAATCTGTGTCCTACAAAGCAGAGGAATGTGTTAGTCGGCTGTTGGGAAAGGGGGTTTCTGGATAAGGGAGTGTGGATTCTCCCTGAGTTCAGGGATGGGCACACTAAGCTTCACATGACAATTTTCTAAAAGTACTTAGAATTATAACTTTGGAAAACAGAGGAGAGGTTGAGCCAGACAGAAAATGTGGACGTCACCCACACAGTAACAGTAAACAGAGAAGATGCCATTCCCCAGACAAAGCAGACTTCTGTGCCATGTTATCATCAGAACTCAACAGGCCAAGTAGAAATTGCTGCCAGGGACAAAGAAAATTAAATAACAAAGGTGGAGCTACTTTGGATCTTTGTTTCTGTTTGACAAACATACAGCTCTTAGACTATACCAGTCATTGTTCTACATGGGTGCTTTACACATATTAATTTATTTAAATGTCATTAAACCCTCTATAAAGTAGATAGTATAAAAATTGCTATTTTATAGATGAAAAACAGGCACAGACAGGTCCAGAAACTTGCTGAATGTCTGGAGCTAGCAAGAAGATCTGGGGTTCACACTCAGGCAGTGTTACCTGCTGAGCGGGCTGGGCAGAGCCGCTGCCAACAGCCCAGCACAGCCTCCTGCAGAGATGGGGGCTTCACCTGGGTACTTCCCCCACATCTGCCATTGAATGGTTCTATTCAGTTAGGTTCTGTTAGCAATGGTGCAATCAAATGACTTTAAGAATTCTGAAATAAATTACTGACCTACAGGGACCTGAAATTACCATCAGGCACTGGGAACCTCTCTCAGGCAGTGGTCATTGGGCAAAGGCTTCTACCACTCGTGAAATCACCTCACTGTAAATAGTTCTGGTGCTGTTGCTCCCACCTGACAGATGTGTAATATAGCTGGAAAAAAAAAAAACCTGCCTGTAGCTTTGGGTTGGTCTGTACCTCAAACTCTAGTATACACACAAACTACCTAGGGCTCCTGTTACACATGCGGGTGCATCGTAAACCTACCAAGTTGGACAGTCTCTAGGGAAACCCTGAGAATCTGCATTTCAGCACAGCCAGATTTAAGAAGTCCTGATCAATTTCTACATCCTGCCTAGTTGACTTGGCACCCTGAGCGTGGAGATACAGGCACAAAGGCCAGTGCCAAAGGGGAGAGTTGGAAAGTCCACTCCTACAACCTTCCAGATGATTTTTGTTCACACTGGGCCCCTTTGGGAAAGCTCAGTGTTCAAGACATTACAATAGCTGTAGCACCAGGAGTTCCCCTGTGCACACGAGTGCACCCGAAGCAGAGCACCCGTCTCAAAGGGTGATCCCTTGTGGGGAAGGAGACTCGTGCAATGACAGTGTAAAAGCCTCCTGTGGGCTTCCACCATCCAGAGGTAGCTGACACCGAGGGGCAGGTGCCACGGCCAGTGCCCAGAGGCAGCAATGCCAGGCATCTAGGCTCACCTGGCATCAGTCTCCTCCCCCGCCCTCCGACAAAGCTCTGTTTACATTATTTTCCACTGGCCGACACCATGCCCAGGGTACTCTGGCTGCAAAGAGCTATTTTAAGGACTCACGTCTTGAGTTCATACATGGATCTCAGGTTTATTGACGAAATGATCCGACAAGAGTCTTGTTTCACAACTGGGAAAAGGCCCGCAGCTTCATCACTGCTCGGAGGCCACCACAAACAGAACCAGCTCTGACCCCTGGTCCAGATGGGAAGGTACAGCATCCACTCGTGTCACTCACTCACTATCAGACTTGCCATCCTTAGGTCCAGCCCCGAATTTGGCCCTTTAATGTCTGGTTCTAAGAGAACAGAGTGGGGCACATCATGACGGTTCTCTGGGGTAACTGGACCACTCTCTGGTGTGTGCGCTGAGTGGGATTTACAATGAAGTCACAGAGACGCTCCGGAGCAGCATTAACTTTGGGTCCCACCGTGGTGCTGCCCATGGGTCTTGAGCTTTTCAACCCATAGACCTTTCCCTTTAAGGGACAGAATTTGGTGTCCCTTGCCACCTGCAGATAACAAGCCCCCACACTCAGGTGGGCCTCCCTGTACATTCCCAAGAATGTCAGCTCCCAACACCTAGTTAAATGGCACTTAAACAGGCAATCGTGTGTCTTTGTTAAATGGAAAAATATTTTTCCTTAAACCAGGGTTTCTCAATCTTGGCACCATTGACATTTTGGGTGGAATCCTTCTCTGTTGTGGACTTTCCTGGGCACTGTAGGATATTCAGCAGCATCCCTGGCCTCTACCACTGGATGCCAGCAGCACGGTCCCCCTGGTCTTGACAGTCACAATGTCCAATGTCCCC